TTTTTTTTTTTTTTTTCGGAAAATTGATATAAAAATTTACCTTTTAATTAATATTTTAAAAATTAATTGTTAGATTAAAAGTTCTATTTATATATATTATACATGTTTATTTTTATATTGATCTAATATTTATAAATTTTTGATCAAATAAACTTTACTTAAATATATTTATTGGTGTTAAATTTTGTGTAATCAACAAAATAGTTAAGCTTACTAAAATAATATAAAAAATAACATGCATAACTTTTATAAATAAAACTTTCAATTCAACGATTAACTTTTCAAAATATTAATTTAAAAATTAGACTTTGGACAAGTAAAAAAAAAAAGGCAATGATATAGAGACAATTTTTTTATATCACCTTTTGATACAACTTTTACATATCATTAAATGAGTGAATGCATTCACTATCACAAATCCTATATGAATTAATTAAAAGAACCAATCATTTAAATAATATGTTATGTTATACAAAAATGTCATACAACATTATTATCCCAAAATCATTTCCCAAAAAAAAAAAAAAAAAAGAAGACAAGCTGCGAATCCTTTTTTCCATTTATATAGTTTAATAGTCTGGAAGGAAAGATTTACACCAATTCTTCTTTATGTTGAATTCTCTTATCCAAAGACGGAAATTACTACAATAGCCATTTCTTGTAATTAAGATTAATTGGTAGAGGTAGGAGAAGTTGCAAATGTTTGGCGGATTAATGCTGGTAATGGACAGGATCTGAACACGTCATCAGGCTAAAGTCTATATGATGATGCCATCTGTCGTTTATTTTTGTCTTGTGCCATTGTCTTTAATGTATAAGGCACGGCAGATGCATACAAATGGGATTAGAAAACATGAAAGGGGCTTAATTAAATAAAGTGAAAATAAGGAGGTAATGTCATATTTAATCAAATAGTAAATTTTGGCAGGATGTTACTATCCCTTCCCTGTAGATTGAATTATTAGACGTTTCCTTCCCAAAAGTACCCATAGAAATCAGAAACAAAGGGAAGTCATCCAACAGATCTAAGCCATTGGAAATTGCAAAAAACCAGAGAAAAAGAACAATCATCTCTAGCTAATTAAAATTATGTGTGAAGGTTGAGAGCTCCGAGATTCCAAGATGAATCACTCCGAGCTAAGAGAGCAGTTGGGGAAAGGATGTCGTGTTTATATAGCATTAATTGATTTTGCCTATGGCTGTAAATTCATTGTTTGTTTTTCTAGGTGATGTTCTGTTTACCTTTTATATATCTACTTGTATTCTTTTGTTTTGTTTACATTGTTTCCATCCGATGAGCCAACATGCACATATGCTTCCATTCATCAAGCAGATAAGCACATATGCAAGGAAATGGAATTGGTGCATAGATGACGCTAATATTTATTTTACAAGTAAGGTATCCCGAACCATTTCGAAAGGAAATTTGCTCTTTAATTTGTTGATAGGAAACACAATTTTTGAAAGAGGTGAAGATATGTTGATTCTATTGATTTAAAAAGACGAACTTAGAGCACTTTTGACCTAACTAAAACTTTTTCAGAAATCGTTTGAATTGAGTTTCTATATGAATGTTGAATCATGAAAATATGTAACATAATTGCAAATAATTAAGAGATGTGGAACCAAAGTAAAAAAATGCAAATAATTTTAAAATTACCTAATAAAATTTAGGAAACTTAAAAGTTTATCTTCAAATTTCTGCCTCCAAATGTAAAAATCTGTATTTTAAAGTAATAATTAAAGAAACCAACTCATTTCAGTGTGTCCTAAATGTTATTTAATCGAGAAGTAGACCAAACAAGACTTTAATTTAGTACGAGTAAATTGAGTATAGCATTTGACCGCAAAAATGAAGAAAAAAGAAAATGTAAGTCTGCATTTTTTTTTTAGGTTGAGATTGTCATCTGATTTTAAGAAAATTTCTCCTTTTTTTTTTTTATTATCAATATTAAGATAATTTATTGTGAATCATTCAATTTCTGTATGAATGACCAACTTATATTTAATCAAAAGTGACTTCAGGTCTCAT